AAAACTTGGAGAATTCAACACTACCATGACAGTTCGAAAGGAAAAGTAGAAGCGGGTAATTTCTTCTTCTTCTTCTTCTTCTTCTTCTTCTTCTTCTTCTTCTTCTTCTTCTTCACCTCCTCCTCATCATCATCATCATTTTCTTCTTTTCTTCTTCCCCTTCACCTCTTCTTCTTCTTCTTTTTCTCTTCTTCTTCTTCTTCTTCTTCTTCTTTCACCTCTTCCTCCTCCTTCTCATCATCATCATCAGCATCTTCTTCTTTTGTCTGGCGAGAAGCCACATCCTTGTCTTACGCCGCTTTGTTATTTTTGCATAATTACTGAACGCGTTTTCTATTTGCGAGCAGCCGCTTTCCTACCAGCTTAAATTCTGGATTATTTTAATATCCTTCCCATATACGTTAATGCTACCTTGCTGTTCTTTGTACTTGACAGATTTGTACAAATGAATGAGAAAAAATGGGCTCCAATGTTAAATAGAGGACAATATTGTGGAAGACATGTCAGGAAGCTGTGGCGAGTCATATTCACTGATGATATGAATGCCCTATTTCATATGCAAAATGAACGTGAGGAAATAGTGAATGTCGTCATTGAAGGGGACTTGGCGTTAAACTGAATCAAGAAAAAATATTTCAATATAGCGTAAAATAAAAATTCCTCTGCCTTACTTTTGAGTAGGTATTTAAATGAGTCTGTCTATATTTCTGAGATGAGGCATTATGTACAGTATTTACATTAGTCGGACTATTGTCCTCATCTTTGTCGCCATATTTGTCACAACGTTTCGGCCTCAAGGACACATGGCACAGTGGATAAAGGCGTTGGTTAGATCCAGTGACAGACCCAAAGAAGGTGAGTTCAATACCTGGTTAAGGCAGTGGAGAACTTTCAGAGGAAAAATTAGCAGGAGATAACTGATAACTGACATCCATTAAACATGGCACGTGGAACTAGAACAGTCTACCCCAGTGATCGGAATAAAGGGTTCAGTTCGAAATTCCAACCACCTGAAGAAGGCCGGAGCGTGCATCGGCCGACACGTTGTGACAAATATGGCGACAAAGATGAGGACAATAGTCCGACTAATGTAAATACTGTACCTAAATGAATATAAAAATTCGAAAATTGGTGTTACTCATAGAATTGCATCATATTCAAATTTGCTATCATTTAATACTCTGCGAAAGCTACCAGATATAATAGTTATAAAAATTCATGATGACAAAACACAGCATTAGAATCCTATGTCCATCACAAGGATTGTAGCAGCTATTTGTAAAAAATCAAGTCGATGTCTATAAAGACTTGTTTTAAATTCATTTAGCTTTCTAGATTGGTTGTCCTACTAAGGCTAAAGAAACTCTGTTATTTAATTTTAGTTGGAGGTGAGAAATGAGATGAATGCATGCCTTTCCAATTGCATTTGTAAGCAAATTAAGCTAAAAGACCAGGTTAGAATTTAAACTGTGATAACTGGATCCATTATCTACACTGATATACATTAAACTACCAGTATACCTTGTTATGAATATACTTAAAATAATAATCTGACATTTAAAAAAAGAACCCAACGATTCGAATATATAATATATTTAATATATTAATATGGACAGAATGCACTTGCAAATCGTCCTTTTGGGAACGTGCACAGCAAATCCCAACTGGGGGATAAATTTACCAATAACGCTAGGCATCCTAAGATTTTCCGTGAAGATCTGGCAGATTTGATAACTGCTTTCAATCGTGTGACAAATGTGATGTATAGTTTGTGTGATTGTTCTCATGCATGAGTTCACAAGCATCTTCCACATTCTCTCTTGTTTTACTGGTGATTTGTCACTCTGAAGGATTACCAATTTAAACCAGGCGGCCTTGAAACGTGTCAGCCGCTTAAGAACCATCATTCGACCGAAAGATTCTTCGGCAAAAGCCTGACAAGGCCTTTCAAGTGTTTCGTTAACAGATATTCTGGGCGTCACACAGGATTTGTTTCAGGTATATTACCCGAATGAGTCAGTCGTCTTAACGTACGTAGATCGGTTCAAACACCCTTTAAGTATAGTATCCCTTCAAGAATTTTGTGATCATGGCTCTCCACAACTTCATATCCACATTCTTACTTTGTAATAATTATTGTCCTTTATAATCCCACCCTATTCATGTTTTGTTATATATATATATATGTAGAAATTTTGAAAAAAAAACAAAAATCCATAAATGTAGTTAAAATGAAATTTCATTTTAACTACATTTATGGATTTTTGTTTGTTTTTCAAAATTTCTACATTCTGTCGGATTTTATCCATTTACACTTGCTTATATATATATATATATATATATATATATATATATATATATATATATATATATATATATATGCGTGTGTGTAATCTTCAAACACAGCCCTATAAATTTTAATTATACAACTAGACTACCCGTACCCTTTGACACTTCAGTTTATAAAACATTGAATTTGATTTCAACATTAAAAAAATGTGTTTTTGAAAAAAATTGGAATAAAAATACTTACTTTCGGTATAAACAACTCGCAATTTTAAATCTTATTCACTTAAAATATTTTAAAATCCGACTAACATATTTTTTAATATAACATAAAATCAGACTAACTGGTGTGGGGCCAAAGTCGGGACCACAGAAGGAAAACACGGAACACGGATTAGATGTAAGAAAGATATATTAACAACAGGTTACAGAAATAGTGTAAGCGGAGCTTATTCTATTTTAGTGTCCAATACTGGTAGCCGTACGCGGCTCTCACTGTCTCTCTGAATCTCTGTATGTCACTCACTAGAGTGCTATGTCGCCTACTTAATAGAGACCTGGAAGAGTCTATTGTGTAGGTAGTTTCCGGTCTCACAATACCCCCCTTCCAAAGAGAAAAAATAAAACTGTTAATACTTTTTCCTCTTGGGATTTATGTCGAGCGGTTGAGTAAATTTCCTTTTCCTTCCTGAACGTCGCACTTCAGGAGAGACTTGGGGCATGTCGAGATCGAACTAGAGATCTTGATGCGTGTGCCTGCCGCAGCTTTTTGCCAACCATCTGGCAGTTTATGCAGAATGCAAGCACCAATGCCGTACGAGCTTGCATCACTTGCGACTATGATGTCGAGACTAGGGTCGTAATGGGTGAGGGAGAGGTCCGAAGTAAGAGTTTTCTTGATCTTCTCGAATGCATCTTGGCATTCCGGGGTCCATGACCATGGTTTGTCCTTTTTTAAAAGTTGGTTGAGAGGCCCTCTCAAATTTTGCATGTTCTTAATGAACCCTTGGTAAAAGTTAGCTAGGCCGATGAAGCTTTGTAACGCTTGAACGTTATCTGGGGCCGGCATGTTTCTGATCGCGTTGGCTCTTTCTGTATCCGGCTGACGACCATCTTTATTTATAATGTGACCTAAGTATTTAATCTCTGGTAAGAAAAAGTCACACTTTTCCTCCTTAACTTTAAATCCGTATTCTTGTATCTTTTCGAATACGTTTATTATATGGTTCCGGTGATCTGCCGGAGTTTTACTGGTAACCAGTATATCATCCAAATAGGCTGTTGCGTAGTCAAGGTCGCCCAGCATGGCGTCCATGACCTTCTGGAAAATTGCAGGCGCAACCTTTACTCCAAAAGTCAGCCTGTTGAATTTGTACAACCCTCTATGGGTGTTTATGCAGAGAAATTTGGAACTTTCTTCTTCCACCTCTATCTGAAGGTATGCGTCGGAGAGGTCAATTTTAGAAAAAATTTTTCCACCATTGAGTTTATTGAAAATTTCTTCAGGGCTTGGGAGAGGATAGTGGTGATCTTGCAAGGCGTCGTTTAACCCGGTGGAAAAATCTACGCATACTCATATTTGATTGGACTTCTATTTTACGTAGACCGTAGGTGCTGCCCACTCGCTGAAATCTGTTTTTGACAGAATACCTGCTTGTTCGAGTCAATCTAACTCTTTGTTAATTTAAAGCAGCGAAAGGGACATTCCGTTTTGTTTTTTGTTTTTTTTTTTTTTTTTTTTAGAAAGTTACAAAAAGAGATAACTTACCTCAGTGAATTTGAGGGGAGAATAATTTTATGCCCGAGTTCAACTCAGTTACATTAAAAAAAAAATTCGATAGTTGAGTACAATGATAGTACTTGCTCTTGTATTGTCAGTTTGTTTTACGAACAACTGTTTTTTTCTGCGTGTGTGGGTGTGTAGAAATCGTTCCCGAATTGTTATTTGGACAGACTTTAATATTCCGTAGATGTCGAATCGCTAGTTTGTCAATGGCGTTTGGTATTGGAATATATAATTTTTTTATATGTAGACGCTTGGTGTTTAGCTTTTAAATCGCTAATGTATTAATACCAGCTTAATTTCACGTTCAACACTGCTGTGGGAACGCGTGGAGTTTGTGTGTTTTTCGAGTAGTGTCGCTATTGATATGGTGAGAACGAAATTCTCGAATATTTTCTGTCGCCACTGTTGTGGGACTGACAAGATATTGCGGTTTTTCGACGTGAATGCGTTTCTAGAATTCTTTGTCTACCCAGATGTGGGATTGTTCAGGTATTGAGGTTTCGCCGTGAGTGCGTTTCTAGAATCCTCGTCGCCACTGATTTGATGCCAAAGTTGGGACAACAGAAGTAAAACACAGAACACGGATTAGATGTAAGAAAGATATATTAACAACAGGTTACAGAGATAGTGTAAGCGGAGCTTACTGTATGTTACTGTCCAATACTGGTAGTCGTACGCGGCTCTCTGTCTCTCTGTGTCTCTCTGTATGTCACTCTCTAGAGTGCTATGTCGCCTACTTAATATAGGCCTGGAAGAGTCTATTGTGTAGGTAGTTTCCGGTCTCACAATACTAACTTAAACATATTTTTTACTATAAGATATATTTAAATCATATTCCCTTGAAAATATTTTTTTGAATATGCAAAAAATATATTTTAAAATGTTGTTTTATTAAAGAAAGCTTAAATATAAATAAACATGCACGCAATCACAGAGGTGTGGAAAGGCAGATAGGCGGAAAGAGAGAGAGGTGGAAAGGCAGGTGGAAAGACAGCGAGGTGGATAGAGAGAGAGGTGGAAAGGCAGGTGGAAAGACAAAGAGGTGGATAGAGAGAGAGGTGGAAAGGCAGGGGGAAAGACAGAGAGGTGGATAGAGAGAGAGGTGGAAAGACAAAGACAGTCGGATAGAGAGAGAGGTGGATAGGCAGGTGAAAAGGCAGATAGTTGGAAAGAGAGAGAGGTGGAAAGGCAGGTTGAAAGACAGAGAGGTGGATAGAGAGAGAGGTGGAAAAGGCAGATATGTGGAAAGAGAGGTGGATAGGCAGGTGGGAAGAAAGATAGGTGGAAAGAGATAGAGGTGAAAAGGCAGCTGGAATGGCAGAAAGGTGGATAGAGAGAGAGGTGGATCAGCAGGTGGAAAGGCAGATATGTGGAAATCAGAGAGAGAAATGCAGCTGGAATGGCTGAGAGGTGGATAGAGAGAGATGTGGAAAGGCAGGTGGAAAGACAGATATGTGGAAAGAGAGAGAGGTGGAAAGGCAGGTGGAAAGACAGAGAATGTGGATAGAGATAGAGATGAAAAGGCAGGTGGAAAGACAGAGAGGTGGATAGAGAGAGAGGTGGAAAGGCAGGGGGAAAAACAGATATGTGGAAAGAGAGAAAATTGGAATGGCAGGTGAAAAACAATACGAGGTGGATAGAGGAGAAAATGGAAATATAGGTGGAAAGACAAAGAGGTTTTGTATAAATTCTTAGGTGGAAAGTCATTTTTTTCTCTCTGAATAAAATGACGACAGTTTTAAGGAAAATACAACAAAAAACATCTTAGAATCAAAAAGACGGGAGAAATTTCCAAAAAATACAAAATCAGAAATGATGTCTGAGAGAATCTGAGGCACGCGGTGTATATTGAACGCATAAGGGGCAAATGAAAACAAAGAGAAACCTACCTAACGAGCGTGTATAAACGGATGACAAAACATGGCTAGAATTTAACACACGATGTAAAATGCGACAGTGAAATCCGAACCAGCATCCGACTAGGGAAAATGCATTTCTAAAGTATTAAGTAACAGAAAAATTTCGTTAGAAACAACAAAAAAAAAGACTGCTTAATTTCTACGTGCTATTACCGTAATTTCTCGAAATTAATACGCATCCAAAAATAATACGCACCTCAACAAATGATCCAAAAATTAAGAAATATATATCCCTATCTATAATACGCATCTATAAATTTTGTCAAAAATTCTTAATTACGAAGACGTTTTGTCGAGCTTGACACTGAGAATAAAATCGAAATTAAGAGGCTAGGATAAATTACCATGTAACTTTTCCGATAAATATAACATTTTATTTTACAGCTAAAATATCGTCAAAACGTGCGAGTTATAGTGCAAATTTTGAACAAAAATTAATAGAATTAACAGAAAGAATAGGAAACAGAGCTTCAGCTAGAGAATATCAGTTGAATGAGGCTAACATAGGTTTATGGAGAAAGGATAAAAATGAAGTAAAAAGTGAAAATCAAGTGCCAAAGATATAGGTAGAGTGAGAAAAGCTCAATATCCAGATATGGAACAAAGTTTAGTATATTTTTTGAAAAAAAGACGATCAAGTTCTTTTTATATAATTTTTTTAAAATATTTTTCGCCAAATAAAAGATGCGGTTACTGATAAACAAGTTTCAGTATCGGTCTATATTTCTCAGATGAAGTATTATGTACATTATTTACATTATTCTGAGATGAGGTATTATGTACATTATATACATTATTCGGACTATTGTCCTCATCTTTGTCGCCATATTTATTCCAACCTTCTTCAGGTGGTTGGAATGTCGACCTGACCTTTTATTTCGCTCACTGGGGTAGACTGTTCTAATTCCACGTGGCATGATTAATGGATATCAGTTATCCGTTATCTATCTATCTATCTATCTATCTATCTATATATCTATCTATCTATATATATATATATATATATATATATATATATATATATATATATATATATATATATAAGATATAAAAATACAAATGAAAGAAAAGAAAAATATTAATTTCACCTGCATTAAAGTTTCGTCTGAGGAAGCTTTAATAAAAGTGAAATATATTAGTCTGATAAACGTTTCCATTTTGTTATTTACTTTACTAGATCCATATTGGATACTTATGTCTATACCGAGTGTGAATTGTCCAATTCAGGTTAGAATTTAAAAATGAATGTCGAAACTACGTTCAAAACCATCACTTCGTAAGACACCAGAAGTATTGTAGCAAAATGGCAATGTTGTAGTGATTTTATAATATATTTATGTTATAATTTTCGAATAAATTATATATAAATATATATTATTATTTAAATATAACAGGCAATGAATGTCTGTTATGTCTGATCATGAGCTGTTCTGATGTCCCAATGTTTGCTTTAATTTCTGGTGAAAATAAAGTCAAAAATCGTCCAACATTGGGATATTTTTTTAAGTCGGTCCTTACTTTCGGCTTTGGATCAACTTAATAAAAATACTTAATACACACGTCACTCAATTATAAAATATATTACTTAAACGTTATTTTTAATGGATGCCCGTATTTTAGTAGATGTTCTTTTATATATATATATTAAACAGTATATTTATTTATTTTCATCAATGAATATTCGAAAAATCATATTTTTTATATATATAAATATATATGTGTGTGTGTGTGTGTGTGAAAAGTGTGTGTATATAAATATAAATACCAATATATATATATATATATATATATATATATATATATATATATATATATATAATTTATTTATATATTATATGCGCGGTACTTATTAGAAAGCGTTCAATATCAGAGATAGAGCTAGTGGACATTCGTCTATGTTTGCGTTCCATAATCACACCAATACATAAACTCAAAAATTAAAAAAAAATTTAATCCATTTGTCTGACGATCGCAAAAGCATGAAACCCAGGGTCACAAACTCACATCAATCCATCCATATATATATATATATATATAAATATATATATATATATATATATATATATATTTTTTTTAAAATATGATTATAAAAATAATTATAATTTAGCCTCTACTTGTATATTTTAAGCACAAAAGAATCTGGAATTGTTAGCGTTAGTAACTGATAACACTCACCTGGACTTGAAGTCAAATATTAAATATTGATAAAACAATGGTCCAAGTGTCTTCAAGCGGACTTTCGACAATACGCGCGCACACACCGAAACATACAGAGAGAGAGAGAGAGAGAGAGAGAGAGAGAGAGAGAGAGAGAGAGAGAGAGAGAGAGAGAGAATATGTTGATATCATCCTCATAAAAATGTTTACTTTAATCTAGTAGATATAAATCCTTCGTTGATAATAAGCTACAACTGTCATGGAAAATTTGCCATACATACGTGCTACAGTTAAATCTCAGTTTGTTATTTTGCCAGCCGAAAATTTAACAGAACTTCAACGGAAGCATTCAGATCAATAAGACAGACAAAAAATGAAACAGCAATATATACTCGGATCCACCAGATGGAATTCGCTTGAAAAAATGTCAAACTTGATTTGGCCACGAAGAAATATCGAATCTGCAAAAGGTTAGAGAATTATGGTCAACAAATGAAATGTCAAGAGTTATTTTCAGTTAGAAGAGTTTGTACTTGCTTCATTATTTTTTCGTCGAATGAAGAGAGTTACCAAGTTACGTCAGAAAAAAAAACTTAGAACAAATTAAATACCAAAATGCCGATTTTACGTGAGTAAATTCAAATTATATACTGTAATACAGGGGATTTGGGGACCCTAATTAATACGATCAATATGTAATAATATAGGCATGCGGATAGATTTAGACTGTCGGGGATACGCAACTTTTCTACTGGCACGCCCACTAGGTGGCGCTCTATTAAATGATCTGTAAGGAAACCATATTAATACACTCGGTATCATTCCGCGGCCCATTACCGGTGGAGGATTATTATCTCTCAGCTGCGTCTCTCTCTTCGGGCAATGACGCAGCTGGGGAAAATAAAAACTACTGTCCGGTCCCGGGGAATAGCTGCATCCCCCCACTGTACTAGATATAAGGAGATCGGTAGTCATAACGATGATGGTTTCGGGAGCTAGGAAATTTTTGACCTTGGCCCGAGTGTACGCGCTCGGAGTCCTCACATAAACCCCGGTCTTGTATTACATCTCGTCTCAGTTAGGAGATTCCATCTTAGCGCAACTGAAATGGAGTACCGACAAAACGGAATTTGTCTACGATGGGAGAGGTTTATTCGTTGCAGGAAATCAACTACTTACTTACACACAAACTTCGTGAACATCGCTGTATCAGCACATATGCTAAGCTAGGAGGATCCCCTTAGTAGACATAGCATAGATATACTGTGTAACGAAAGCGAGGGAAGCGTGATTTATTTTCTCAGGTCTCCCGTTATGGGCATCGTTATATCAGTGATATAAAAATGTCATAGTTTACGGACAGGGCGGAACCGGAAGGACTGAAAGGAAAAAATGACAAAAATGGTTTGTTCTCAAAGAGAGACCTTTATATACTGCGACATGCACAGAACCTTATATATATATATATATATATATATATATGCACATGTCAGAAGTGGAGAACTATATATCTCTAATATCTACCTAGGAAAGCAAAGTATAAGCCTTAACGTTTACATATCAACAATCTCTGCCTAGCAAAGTATAAGGAGGAAGAAAAGAAAATCTCGTATATATAATTTGAAGACTTTCCTGGCCATTTGTAGGACTCCAGATTTAAACGGGTCGATTTCATCTATGTCCCAAAGAGAAATGATACCACGTGCTTCTAAGCAGTTGGGGACGCAGAATTAATATCAGCTTGAGCCAAAGGGCTCAAGCTAACAAGAAAGCAACCTTACTATTTGGTTTCTGTTTACGAACTGAAAAACAACTGCCGCTTTGTGTCACTGTATGGATTCTCGTCACGAGACGGTCGTCAGGTGAATTATCTTCAACCAAAGTGAGATAAGCGCCTCCTGTATCCCTACAACTCTCTCCCCAAAAACAGTTTCTCAAACCTGACAGGAGGAATCACTTTATTTTTTTTTGATATAATATGATGCATGCAATGAATATTAAACATTACTAGACGACTCAAACAATGCACATTCGATGGCATAAAAAGCTCTGCTGTGTTATTATAATTCAAAAGTTCATATGCAATATATGTACTGCAAAAAGAGAAAACAAATTAAGATGTCTGGACATTCGGATGGCGTCCGGATGTGGTCACAGTTTGAATTTGTAAATTTGCTGCTCTTGGAGATGGTGTCGAACCTGGCATGTCTCCATTTAGTCAAGTAGCACCCAGAAAGGCTGGCTTAAGCTTGTCCAAACAAATTTTGTTTTTGCGTTACTGATATGTGTATTAAAAATTTTAATGTCTCTACAGGATTTTGAATAGTCTTCCCTATGTGACTGCAATGCACTGTACTTGACTAAGGCATGCACTATTTCAAATTCAGAGGTCGGAAGATGGATATTTGAAGAATTAAAGATTTTATGTAGGTGATTGTCCTTTTGTTGTTCAGAATTGGCATGTAGTCATTGCATGTGCCATTAGCAAGAAAGCATCAATGCCACGGGAAATGGTATTTTCAGGTGTTATATTGGAAGAGAAGGTCTCGCTGGCAACACTTGAGTTAGAACATAGATCGCCAGTGAGCAAACACAGGCGTTCCCATTATTGAATTAAGTAGATCACGTGACCATATAGGAAGTCGCATGACGTCTAGATTGATTGCTATTCCTGTTCTATCCTCTATCACTATTCGGATCACTATTTCTATTTTATCCTCTATTACTATACGGGCCGCTATTCTCTTCTAATTACTATAATATTTCTATATTCGGATCACTATACAGATTATTATTCGAGCGTGTATTATCGAGCAGTAATATTAGTTCGAGTCATATTCGAAGTCGTCTAACTCTAGTATTGTTCAACAGCATTACTATATTTGTAAAATGCGATTACAAAGTCTCTACTACTATGAGCATTGCAGATTTGACAACGTGTATTCGTTGGCATCACAAAAGTGGCACCTAGTTTGGTTGATATCACAAAAGCAAGAAAGTTTTTTTTTAAAGAAAATTGACTTCCACTGAATATGGATTTACGACGCCATTTACTACAAATTCATGCTTGTGATAATATAATACAACTTAACCGTATGTGAGAATAATAATTTTGTGGAATGGTGCGGTAGTAAAATTCTCCACACGGATCATGGTTTAATTAAATACCCCGCGATGTAGGAAAATAGCGAGAATCAACAATAAAATATTTTGGAAAGGCCAAGTAAGTACACGTAAAAATACTTGGACTAAATATCAACTGAATTTACGTCTGGTACTGCTAAGTAAAAGTAATGAACTTAATTGGGTTAAAGATGCGGGGCTGGCTACCACGTGTTATATGTTGTGGCACCATTTAACGAGGCAGAAAATGAAAAGAAAGAAAAGAAGGAAAGGAGAGGCTAAGACCTAAAGCGTGGATGATATGCAGAACACCACGGCTAAGAGACAATGGGTAAAGGATATTTTGATGAGTAACAAATGGCGAAAGAGTGTCATTACAATGACAGGGAAATTCTGAGTGGATAAAGGAATCGGGTGTGTTTTGGCTACGGCTGTGTTATCTAGGATACGTAAACAAACTGCTGGCCGACTGGCCAAAGAAAAATCCAAATGAAAATGTTATTTCAATAAGTGACGGAAAACAGGTGGACCAAAGGGCTTTGGATAGATATGAAAAATTAAAAGCCGCACACGATGTGTCCACTGACCGATTTCTTTCGACGGAACATCTTTAGCCTGCGATAATAAAATTATGTTATCAAAAATGTGTACCAAAAGAAATGAATGGGGACTTAGAAATGTTCTTTTCGGTGCGACGTTTGGCCGTGTTAAAAAGACCACCCATTCTGATAATTAGCGATAAGTACTGACGAAGCCCAGGTGTAGAACAAGAGTTATGACCACCGTCTTGTCCTGTTTGCGGCTAGAGAAAATGATAACTGCGATTAAGAGGAAAAGAAGGAAAAGAAAAGATAATTTTTTTTTTTAGTTAAGCAAGATATTTTTTTTCCTGAAACAAAGCCGCGGATTCGTCCACACCCATTGGTCGAGTGGTGATCACGTGACTCACGAAGGAAGCTGTCGCCGCCCATCCAGAGGATAGGTATGAGAAGCTGCTACGAAGAAGTGGAGAGGGCAGCTCACGCCACTCTGAAGTATGGTGAGAAGGTGGGAGTAAGAAAAGGCTCCAAAAAATGGATAAAAAGTGGAAATTCCTAACCAGAGAGGTGGATATGTAATTAGAATTATCGAGGAACGCCCGAGGCCGACAGACCCACCCCGGTTTTGGTCGGCGTCCATATAAGCGAAGCCGCAGCGAGCAGAAATCAGTTGAGTTGAGTTCGAGAAGAGTTTGAGTTGAGTTCGAGACAGTTCCTAGTGTCAGTCTCCAGTTGAAGCAAGCCTCGCAGATAGCTGACCAAGATTCACGCAAATTCAGGACTCCTCTTCAATCCAAGAATAATTATTTTGAAGAGCGACTTAGATCCAGACCACCAAAATAAGTTTTTTCGACTTTCGTCCGAAGACACACCGAAAAACCAATTTCTTAAAGAGCAAACAAGTTGAAGCGTTAAAACTCGCCTAACGGAAAACAATGTGTCACAATCCATAGAACGGGTCGGGAAATAGACGCAGTCCTATGTATCGAACAACTAGACATAAAGTTTGTTATTTTTTTTTTGATATCTTGAACTTTTGAGTTTTCATTTTATTTTATTTTATGCATATTTGTGTGGTGTCACCCCCGTTGAACCCGATTTGCATTACGGCCCCAACTACTGATTGATCTCGTCTGCCTAAGATCAATTCACAACGTGGGTAGGCAGACTGGAGATCAATACAGTTGCTTTGGTAACCAGGCGTTGGAAGCGAGTTGGGAACGACGAGGCTGATATCAAATCTAACCAGATTCCCACCCGAATCACCAACAGGTTAGAACGTCACATTTGGGTGCCGGGACCGATACCAAGCCAGTTGGTCGTCACAGGAAGAGACAACACGACTGACGCGACAGGCGGACGTCACGTTTGGAGCGGCGACACCCGAACGGAGCAGCGAGGAGCGAACAGCTGGCGCCGCGGCGAGGACGTCACAGTTGGTGCCGTGGTAGACCAGGATAGGACGTCACAGTTGGCGCTGCGACCAGGGGACGACGTCACAATGTCATGGTGGAAGAAATAGATAGACTA